CAGACGGACATCGGACAAAAATCGACTTAGAATTTTATGCTGATTATGAATATATATACTTTGTGTGATCTACGATGAATATTTAAGGATGTTACAAACGGAATGACAAAGTTAATATACCCTCCTTTCCAAGGTGGAGGGTATAAAAATGGTTGATCCTTTCTTGTTCTATGAGGTAAATTATTTTCTGTGAATATTTATTGAACATCGCCGATATCGTGTTTATACCAAATTGGATCCTCCCTTCGAGAGTTATTGTGCGCACAAGCCAGACAGATGGACGGATGCCATTAGATCGACTCAAAGTGCCTTGAACAGATTTCGTCCAAAGAGACCTAGGCCTCAATTCTTGTTCTATGAAAATGTGAAATGAAAAATTTTATAAAGGAAATCAAGTCCACACATTTAATGCCCTCAGCCACGCAACGTGTGGACTTGGTTTTGATTTAAAAAAAAACGGACTTTGTTCATTTTATGCTTATCTGACTTTATTAATAAATGAGACGAAACAGCTGAAGCTAGAATTTTGTGCGAAGTTTAACCTAGGGACAGGGTTTTTCGATATTCGTCCTTTAAGGATAACCGATTGGAAGATTCTAGAGCTTATATTTTTTATACGCAGATTTGTCTAGATTTTGGAAACTCTGGTAGTGGAAAAAACGGAGAAAAATAATTGCATAAAATATTTAATTAAAACACTTATCACAATTTTAATTCTTTCAAAGCATTTATTTTATTTTTACCGTTAAATTCATATTTTCCAGTATTATTTATTATTAAATTATATCTCAAATGTCAGTCATAATGCGATTTACTTTTTTCCCCTGCCAAACAAAATTCCTTCCTGTTTAAAACACAAATCCGACATGAATATAGAGCCTACGTCATATTATGACCTCAATTCTACACAAATTTTGCATCACTGCATTTGTGACGTTATTTACCGGTCCATGCCTTAATAAAATTAAAAATATTTAAAAAATAATTAACGTAAACACATGTCCACACAACCGAATATAATTTTAAATCTCTATTTTAACACGTTTCATCAATGGATGTCGTCAACGGGGGCAGACGTTTTTTTTATTCAATTAATTAATTTTGTTGTTGTTAAAGAGTATCAAAAATTCCAAACTTCCTACATCAAAAAAGCAAAAAATAGAACATAAATAATACGTCTACAAGCGGAGGAGATTCCATATTGATCGAATGGTAAAACCGCAATTTATACAACACTCAAAAAGTATTGAAATTGTTCTTGTTGTTTTATATTTTTTTTTTTATTTTTGTTGGTGAATGAATGATTCACCCATTTTCGTTCATTTTGTCAATGAATGTTTCGTCTTTTGACTTCAGTCAGACAATTGAAAGCAGAGCGCGATCACGCTAGACGATATGTCATTACGAGTATATCTCAGAATAATTCTGGTATAAACCAGCAGCGAGTGGCTGTCTAGCAACGGTGAAGATAAAACACCAAAAAAAAAACGCTTAAGCGCATCTGTCAACCGGGTTTTATTATTAATAAAAATTGAATTTTTTTTTTATTTATAAGTGTTGTTCAACACATTTGTGCATTATTTCCAATAGAAACTGGCCCTGTAATCAAAGAATGTGTCTGTGAGTGTAAAAGTCGTATTTTGATTTGAAATGTGTTAAAAATTCACTCGAATTATTTCCGATATTGATAACAATTGAAATGAACTGTAAACGTAATGGCCCATATATACGTGTACATGTGTATGTGCATGGAACACATTGGACATGTAACACCCACTCAATTCTATGACCGCTCATGAACTTGAATTTAATTGAGAAAAAATAAAAAAACAACAGCAAATAAAAAACGTAATGTATGACTGATCTCTTTTTGTGAAAACTCGTGGATATTGTTTTATACCCTCCACCGTAGTATGGAGGATATATTAAGTTTGTCATTCCGTTTTTAACTCCTCGAAACACTCATGTCAGACCCAACAAAGTATATATATATTCTTGATCAGCGTAAAATTCTAAGTCGATTTAGCGATGTCCGTCCGTCTGTTTGTTGTAATCACGCTATCTTTCGAACAAATTCAGATAGAGGGCTACAATTTTGCACACATGTTTATTTTGCCAGCAGGCAGGTTAAGTTCGTAAATGGGCCACGTTTTCATATAGCCCCTATATTCGATATTTTGAGGATTTTAGCTACATTATTCACCGGAATTGTTTCAAATTTGGTATTTGAAGTTCGTAATGGATACTACAGCCTAAGACAGAAAATTGTCTGTGCAGGTCCACGTCTTCGTATAGCCCCCGTTTATGATTTTAGCGTCATTATTCACCAGAGTCGTTTCAAATTACGTATTTAGAGTTCGTAATGGGAACTACAGTCTGTGACAGAAAATCGTCTATACAGGTCCAGGTCTTCGTATAGGCCCCATATATCAGTACCTCTCTATATTCGTTATTTTGACGACTTTAGCTCCATTATTCACCGCTTATTTCACGTTTTGAATTTGAATATGGTAATGGCTTATGACAACCAATGCTTATGTAGGCCCACGTCGTATAGACCCCAATATAACGGCTATATTCGGTATTTTTAAGATTTTAACAGAACTTTTAACGGATTTTATTTTTGAAATTTTTAAAAATCCTTCCAAATGGTGGAGGGTATTTAAATTTCGGCCCGGTCGAACTTAATGCTTTTTAACTTGTTGAAAATATTTTTTGAAAATCTGTGATGTTCTTCTTTTTAGTAATATTTTACCCTCTTTATTATACCCTCCACCTAGGAAAGCAGGCTATATTCAATTTGTCATTCCGTTTGTAACGTCTATAAATATTCGTCATAGACCCCAAAAAGTATATATTCATGATCAGCATAAAATTCTAAGTCGATCTAACGATGTCCGTCTGTCTGTTGAAATCACGATACAGCCCACAATATTTGATGTAGTGATATATTGGTCCATGTTTTGGTATAGTCCCCACAAACAGTAACTTTCGATATTCTGTATTTTGATGAATTTTGCCACATCTTCCCACCAATTTGTCCAAAAATGAGCATATGTAGTTCTAATGGGTTCCAGCTCCGGTGACAGAACATTCAATATCTAGGTCCACGATTTCGTATACCCCACGGTACCTCCCGATATTCGGTATTTTTATGATTTTTTTGCTACATTTTTTCGCGTATTTGTCTAAAAATTGGTATTTGTGGGTCATAATGAGTTCTAGCTCCGGTGGCGAAACATTGCATGTATAGGTCCACGCTTTGGTATAGTCCCTATATAAAGGTACCTCCTCGTACCTACCTCGATATTCGGGTTTATTGATGGTTTTGTCACATATTTTCACGGATTTGTCTAAAAATTGATATTTGTTGGTCACAATGGGTCCTAGTTCGTGTGGCGAAACATTGTATGTGTAGGTCCACGTTTTTGTATAGCCCCATATAGCTGTATTTCCCGATATTCGGTATTTTAATGATTTTTGGCACATTTGCCCACGAATATGTCTAACAATTGGTATTTGTGGGTCATAATGGGTTCTAATGTTTCCTTCACCCTAAGGTGGAGGGTATTAAAAGTTCGATCCGGTCGAACTTAAATATCACTCTGATATTTATAGATTTATTTTGTGCAGAATATTTCTACTTTTGACACCTTCTGCCTCTAACGACATTTAATGTTACTTTCAGGTGTCAACTCGAAAAAAGCCCGAGGAAAAAATTTATCAAAATATGTTTTCCTTTTTTTTGGGGAAACAGAGGTTTCTTTTCTTTGGCGACACAATAAAAAAATTGATGGAGAATATTTTTGTCTTTGACGTCATCCTTCAAAAATGATGCATTGTAGGAGATTTTTGCACCAACTCACATAAAATACGTGTTTAACCCTAAAATGTGTTTTTAATATATCTGAATTCCTGATGTTTATGGAAGAGTTAGACCTTTGATGTGCTCTAGGTCTCATAGCAGAATTTTATGACAAATAATTTTGTAGAATATGTTGACTTCGTACACCTACGTTTAAAGCGACGTTTTAGCCATACTTTGAAAAAAGGACCAAAAAGACTCTTTGTTGACTCATTTGTTAAAATGTTCGACCAGAATATTCTAATATTTCCGAAGACACTATATACCTTAAATCAATGAATTCCAAGGGATCTTAATCCAAAGATTTCAAAAAAAAAATGTGAAAGAGAAATGCCGATACACGTGTCTTCTATTTTTAGAAGTATCACTCTGGCTAAAATCAAATGAACCGGCAATATTCTCTGCATTCAGACGGCATTAATTCTAAAACTTTTTTTATGATTTAAATATTTCACATTTCTATTCGCCCCTCAACCCCTAGTAATTCCACCAGCCACCATGTAAATACATGTATATAAATCGCATTGTTGCATTTATTTAATTTGATAACAATGAATAAAGAGAACCTGACTATGCAATGCAATCATAAACTGCATTAGCTCGGAGTCATTTCATTCATAACTCTCTAGCACCACCATTAAAAACGCCTCGTCTCATAAGGTTTTCCTTTTTTATCATCGCGCTCGACAAGTGGCAATTATTTTAACTGGTGTTTGTCTGTGTGTGTATAATTTTCAGTGAAATGTCATCCGCTGCAAATTTGGGTTCCAGTCGCCACAGTCACACGCTATTTATTATAACCGTTTATATTCGTAAGATTTTCTTTAAGAATCCAACACTGTGAGTATTCGCCGCCAGGTTTGAAAGATGTTCAATTTTTTGCTTTGGTTTTTGACGAGTTGACTCGATTTGATTTTATTTTTAATGTGCATAATTTTGCTGCTGTTATTGTTGTTTTAAAGGTGTTCGTTATATGTTTTATATTTTTTTTAATAAATTGTTTTTTTTTTGCTCTTTTGATGATCATTTTGTTTATGATGCCATTTTAATTGCAAGCCGTTTTATGCATTTTTAAATATTTTTTTTTTCTCATTTTAAATTAACTAATAATTATTTTTTTTTTCTTACTTTCCAGAATGGGCTCATTCAACTCGGCGCCCAAAATCAATAATGTCGATTCACAGGACGATGGTCTAGATATACCAAAAGGTCTCACCACATCGGAGTTGTTGCAACATGTTAAGCACTTGCGTGGCCTCAATCAACCGCCTCTCTTGAGCCGTTACTTCCTGAAGCCCGTGTCTTCAATTATCTCGTCAGATCTAACAGATGGACTGCGTTGTTTGAAATTGAATTCGGTATCCCGTGGTAAGTACGAACAAGTAAAAAAGCTGTAAGTTCGGCCGGGCCGAACTTTGAATACCCTCCACCATTTGGTAATTTAAAAAAAAATAAAATCCGTTAAAAATTCTATTAAAATCTTAAAAATACCGATTGTAGCCGTATATTAGGGTCTATAAGACTACGTGACCCGGCATAGGCAACTTTTGTCAAAAAATCTGTTTATAATGTAGCTAAAATCATCAAAATACCGAATATAATGAGGTACCATGGAGGTTATAAAACGTGGACCTGCACAGACAACTTTCTGTCATAGGCTGTAGTATTCATAGCGAACTTCAAATACTAAATTTGGATTAGTTCTGGTAAATAATGTCTCTAAAAACATCAAAATATCCAATATTTGGAGGTACCGTTATATGGGGGCTATACGAAGACGTGGACCTACATGGCCCATGTTCTGTTTTATACTGTAGTATCTATTACGAACTTCAAATGCTAAATTTGAAACAATTCCCGTAAATAATGTCGCTAAAATCATCAAAATACGGAATATCGGGAGGTACCGTTATATTGGGGGCTATACGAAGACGTGGACCTACGTGGCCCATTCCCGTAAATAATGTCGCTAAAATCATCAAAATACCGCATATCGGGAGGTACCGTTATATGCGGGCTATACGAAGACGTGGACCTACGTGGCCCATTCCCGTAAATAATGTCGCTAAAATCATCAAAATACCGCATATCGGGAGGTACCAATATATGGGTTTATACGAAGACGGGACCTACATGGCCCATTTTCTGTTTTATGCTGTAGCATCTATTACGAACTTCAAACACCGAATTTGAAACAATTCCGGCAAATAATGTCTCTAAAATTTTCAAAATACCGAATATAGGGAGGTACCTTTATATGGGGGCTATACGAAAACGTGGACCTACGTGGCCCATTTTCAATACCAAAAGTCCTACAGATATAATACACATTTGAGTAAAAATTTATCATCCTACTTCATTTCGTTCGGAAGCTAGAGTGATTTTCACAGACGGACTGACGGATAGACGGACGGACATTGCTAAATCTACTATACGAAGACGTGGTGCTGCATGATTAATTTTTTGTAATGGGCTGTAGTAACTATTCCGAACTCCAAATACTAAATTTGAAACAATTCCGGTGGAAATACCGAATATCTGATGTGCCCTTATATGGGTGTTATTCTAAAACGTGGACCTATATAGACAATTCTCTTCCATGGGGTAATGTACTCGCAAGGAACTCCTTGAGTAGAATTTCAGACGATTCCATTAAAACGTGTGGCTAAAATCATCAAAATTTCGAATATCGGGAGGTATTATGCGCTAGAAATGCAGCGAGGAACTTTATTTTGTAACCATTCTTGGGTGGCGCGTGCTGAGTGCGATGTTGCTGAGTCCTGTTGGAGTGTTCAAGGTCTGCGGCCAAAATCTTGGCGTGCCCAAGGCTTTAATAGACCCTACAGAATATTTTCGCGATAAAATTTGACATTTATTATGATGCCAAGGTCGATTAATACCAGCGGAGAGCGACCATCGGCCGGCGCTTCGGTTCTGGAGGCAATGGAAGGCGAAAATTTTCAGCTGACCTCTTTGGCAAGTAAACACAATCATTTTGTTTGTTTACAAACTGCTGGACAACGAATGTTTTCTTATTGGAGACGGAGAAAACCAAATTCGGCAGTTCGCCACTTTCAGCTAAGCGAAGCAACTCTTTACCTCTTTTGAATCTATTTTCTTTCTGTTGCGGTGTAAGTTCTTGCACTTTTTGCAATTTCAATGGCATTACCCCGAGCTCATTTGCCGAATGGAATATTGCGATATGTTCAGCTCACGAGCCAATTTTCGGTCACTGTGACGCGGGTTTCGATCAACTCGTTTCCTTACTTTTCGAACCATTTCTGCTGATGTTGCTGTTTTCTTCCGTCCACTTCCTTGATGTCGGGCCACGCTACCAATATCACGTAATCGGTAACGAACGATGTTACGAGACACAAAAGATTTATTCACATTTAAATGCTGCAGTGCTCTAACGATAGCCGCTTGTGGTTTTCCAGCCAAATATAAAGAAATCAAAGTATCACGCTTGAATTCCATCACGAATAACTTTTTTGTCGGGAAAAATCTCACCAAAATGCTTTTGTATGCTTGTAAACAATATAATGAGCTGTCACTGGAATAATTTTAACAGCTGTCGGACGAGTGTCCGACAGTAGTCTGAAGTTGGTTGCAGTTTTTTCATTTCACCCTGTAAATATATATATATATATATATATATATATATATATATATATATATATATATATATTCCAAAATATTTTAATTTTTATCTATGTGAAACTCGTGAAGAGAGCTCCATGAAGCAACAACCCATTTCCTTTCATTCACATTAGGCCTATTTTGTAAATCAAACGCCCTCCTGCGGTCTTACATAAATATGTGTTACAAAACATTTTGCATTTGATATTGCAATACTCTTTTGTTTTTGAATCCAATTAACATTTGTATTGAATTTTAATGTTTTTTTATTTCTCTATTTTTTTTACAGTCTGCAGTGCCCCAATTTCGGATCCAAATCATATACGTCTGTTGCAATGGAATCTTTTGTCACAAAGTAAGTATTGACTGTTTTTCATTCATCTAACTGATGGCCTCGGTTGCCTGGAGATTATTGACTCTTTCTTTTGTGTGTCACTCGAACCGGATGCTATTGCAAAAATTGAATACAAATTTTTGCCTACATTTGAGAGATGTATGGCTATAGAGTAGTCTGCCGCAATGTCTAAGGTAGTTTTCTTAGAGGACTGTAAAGAGAGAGACATTGAAAGGTCGATAACCAAAAAATCATAGAAAGGCCAAACGGCTATTTTAAATGTTGAGACATTGAAAAGGTTCAACAACTTCATACTGGTCGAAGGACATTCTAGGGTAAACAATCGAAGGCCTATTTGCAAGACATAACTGATGCTCTTGAGACATGAGACTAGGTCAACAACCCTTCTACTGATCTAATATAGATTAAAATATTTCATTCATAGAAAATTATTTAAATGTACATTTTTTTTTTTTTTTTTTTTTTTGACTTATGTTATGACTATACAATTTGCTGACCCTCTATGGAGTAGGTCCCGAAGAAATGGGCCAACATTATCCATTTCGTATCGGATCTAAATAAATATGATATAAATATTGCTACGTGCCAGGTTTAAACTATATGAACTATCTCCTTCACTTTATATGAGATATGTGATCAATTTTAGAAAATGTTAAAATGTGCGTGAGATACTAGATATAGTCGATCGAAGTATTCCATTTTATACTCCATCTAATACCGATAAAAATATTGGTATGGGCAAAATTACAAGAAAATTGAAATATTTATATCCAAATTTTATACGAAATCATAAATAAGTCAGGTCAAGTTGTAAAGAATCTCCGACATGTTTCGCAAATTATGACAGATAAAAGTATTGAAAATTGTGACCCCTTGCGGGTGAAGTAGCAGAAGGGGTTCGAAGATATATATCTTCTTCACAGCAAATATTGTGTTAGCAAAAATGTGTGTATGTGTGGAATTTGAAGAGAGTTGAATATTTATTCCGCCATCTTTGAGCATTTTGTTTTTCAAAAATTTTGAACCCTATATGGGGGAGGTACCAGAAGAAATTATCCGATCCCTTCCAACAAATCTTGTGTTGATGGAAATATTGAGAAATACCAAGTCTGAATGGAATCGGATGTTAATTTCGCGATTTATAAGCTTCATGGATATTCAAAAATTTTGACCTTTGTGAGGGAGGTACCAAAAGCAGAGGAACGATATATACCATGTTCTATGTAGATCTTGTGTTATTTAAAATAATCGGATGTGTGAAATACAGATATAGAACCGGATGTTTATTTCGGATTTTATAATTGTTTTGGTTATTCAAAACTTTGACCCTTTGTGGGGGGAGGTACCAAAAGGAATAGTCCGATCTCTTCAATCTTTATAATAAATATTGTGTTGATAGAAATATTGAGCTGTGCCAAGTCTGAATGGAATCGAATGTTAGTTTCGCGATTTATAAGCTTCATAAATGTTCAAAATTTTGAACCTTTGTCGGGGAGGTAGCAGAAAGAATGTTCCGATCTCTACCATCTTTATAACATATCTTGTGCTGATGGAAGTATTGAGATGTAGCAAGTCTGAATGGAATCGGGTATTAACTTCGCGTTTTATGTGGTTCATGGATATTCAAGATTTTGACCCTTTGTGGCTGAGGTACCAGAAGGAGTGGACATACCTCCTTCTCACATATATTGTGTTAGTAAAAATAACGAGATATGTGCAATATTAAGACAACCGTATGCTTATATCGGATTTTATAATCGTTTTGGTTATTCAAAACTTTGACTCTTTGTGGGGGAGGTACCAGATGGAATGGTTGGATCCGTACCATCTTTATAACAGATTATGTGTTGATAGAAGAATATTGAGATGTTTCTAGTCTGAATGGAATAGGATGTTTATTCCGTTTTTCTATAAGCTTCGTGGTTACTCGAAATTTTGACCCTTTGGAAGTTACCAGAAATTTGGAGGTACCAGAAGAAGAGGTCCGATACATTTTATCTTCACACCAGACCTTGGGTTAATAAAAGTGTGTGTAATTTGAAGATAATCGGAATCTTACATCACATTTTATAAGACTTATAATTATTCAAAATGTTGACCCTTTGTGGGGGTGGTACTGGATGGAATGAACCGATATTTTCCATTTTCACACCTAGCCTAGCACTGATGCAAATATTAGGGTTTGCAAAGTTGGAGCAAAATCGGATTATCCTTTCTCTCTCCGAGCAGTAAAATATATTCTTTGAAATTTTCGAACTTTTGTGGGGGAGGTACCGGAAGGAGTGGACCGATATTGACCATCTCCGAACTCGATCTAAGTTTGATAATAATATTACGATGTACCAAGTTTGGATCAAATAGGATACTCTCTTCGAGGGTTATCGTGAGCACCAGCCAGCAGACAGACAGAGGGACGGACGGACGGATATCGCTAGATCGACTCCAAATACCCTGAAAAGGATTTGGCCCAAAGAGACCTAGGGTCTAAAATCGTTATTTTGATGGGGTACTTCCTGGCCGTATCAAATGATATATACCCTCTCTAGCCATATGACTGAGAATATAATATGTATAAGAGCAGGTAAGTTCGGTCGGGCCGAAATTTTTACACCCTCCACCATTTGGAAGGAAATTGAAACATTTCAAAAAAACTTCCGGAAACTACCATTTAACTGAAAACTGTTATATGGAGACTATACGAAGACGTGGACCTCCTTACGATTTTTTTTTTTGCCATAGGCTGTAGTACCCATTACGAACTTTAAATACTAAATTTGTTACAATTCCGGTGAATAACGTCTCACAAATCATAAAAATACCGGATATTGGAAGGTACCGTCATATGGGGGTTATACGAAAACGTGGACCTGCATGTAAAACTTTTTGTCATAGGCGGTAGAACCTATTACGAACTTCAAATGCCATATTTTAAATAAGTCCGGTAAATAATGTCGCTAAAATCATGAAAATACCGAATATCGGGAGGTACTGTTATATAGGGTCTATACAAAGGCGTGGACCTGCATACGAATTTTTTTTCCATAGGTTGTAGTAATTATTAAGATCTCCTAATACGAAATTTGAAACGAATAATGTCACTGAAATCATCAAAATACCGGTAATACAAAGTCGTGGACCTGCATAGGCAATTTTTTGTCATAGATTTTAGTACCCATACGAACTTCATCTACGAAATTTGAAACAATTCCGGTTAATAATGTCTCTAAAATCATGAAAATACCGAATATAGGAAGGTACCGTTATATGTTAACTATACGAAAACGTGGACCGACATGGCCCATTTACGAACTAAACCTGCCTACTGACAAAATACACATGTGTACAAAATTTTAGCCTTCTATCTCAGCGTGATTACAACAGACAGTCAGTCCGTCTGTCAGACGGATAGAAATCGCTAAATCGACATCAGTCGGACAGTCAGTCAGACCGACAGAAATCGCTAAATCGACATCAATTTTTGCGCTAATCAAGAATATATATACTTTGTGGGGTTTGACATAAGTATTTCAAGGAGTTACAAACGGAATGGCAAAGTATGGTGGAGGGTATACAAATTCAGAGCTCTATCATCTCCCCTTGAACGTTTCATACCCTTATGGGACGAATTTCGAAAAACCCAGGTCTATCTCGCACCTCCGCATCAAAGTTGACCTTAGCCAAAAATTTTAAAATGCTGACTTCGCTTGGGCGTTGATGAATCAGCCAGTGAATCTGATCTTTGTAGCAATTCGAAATCATAGACCATTAACAATAGACAACTATGTTCCACCGTTTTTTTTTTAAATCTGTTCTAATATTTTTTTAAATTATTTTCTTTTTTTAATTTCAGCCCTTGGCCAAAATAATGATGGTTTTGTTCGCTGTCCCGTAGAGGCTCTGACATGGGAAAATCGCAAATACCTTATAGTACAAGAAATTTTACAACACAATCCGGATATTCTATGTTTACAGGTAAGTACAACAAACCCAAAAACAACAAAATTTCTAAATTTCAAAATCATTTCTAATTCGTCTATCAATTTTCAGGAAGTCGATCATTTCAAATTCCTTCAAACCATTTTGGGCACCCAAAACTACGAGGGCATTTTCTTCCCCAAACCTGATTCGCCATGTTTGTACATCGAAGAGAACAACGGCCCCGATGGTTGTGCGATTTTCTTCAAACGCGATAAATTCGAATTGCGCAACTTCGATACTCGCATCCTGGAAGTTTGGCGAGTTCAGAGCAATCAGGTTGCCATTGCTGTCAATTTGATTGTCAAGCAGACGGGTCGTGAGCTGTGTGTGTGTACGACCCATTTAAAGGCTCGTCATGGTTCGTTGCTTTCGAAATTGCGCAACGAACAGGGTCGTGATTTGATACGATTCGTAAAACAATTTGCCGGCGATCGGGCCGTAATATTGTGCGGTGATTTTAATGCCGAACCCACAGAACCGGTCTATTCGACCATCTTGAATTGTGAATTTATGAAATTGGCCAGTGCCTATGCTGAGATGCGTGCGGAGAGTGATGAATGCAACAATGAGAGTACAAAGGATAAGCAGGCCCTGATAAACGGCTGCGATAAAGTGCAGAAATCCATACAAAACGAACCACCCTATACAACGTGGAAGATACGCGAAGATGGCGAGGAGTGTCACACCATTGATTATGTCTTCTATACCAAGGATCATTTGAAGGTAAGAAAAGCCATTGAATTCTCCAAGGGGATTTTAAATAATATTTCATTCTTTTCTAGGTTAAAAACTGTTTGGAATTCCCCCAGGGCGATGAAATCGGCCTGAATCGCACACCCAGCTTCCAATATCCCTCAGATCATTTCTCTTTGATATGTGATTTTGAAGTTTTGGACTCATCAAATGAATCATCATCACAGCAATCGCAACCGCAGCAGCAACAGCCGCAGGAAAAAAATAAAACGCAGTGAACCATCCCCAGATCTTAAGTTTTTTTTTAAATTTTTTTCAATTTCTAAACTAACGAAGTTTTCCACGAAAGCAATACCACTTTTTTTACATCATCGTAAATGTAAACACGGATTCTACTTAATTAACTAATTAGACCCATTGTAGTAGACCCATCCTAGCATATACACCCCCATATAAACCGATTCACTCTTACAAATTGTGATATTAGCTCTTAGACAACAAAGAAAGAAAGAAAGAACGACAAAAAACAAAAAAGAAAACGGAAAATGCCGAAGTGTGAAAATACTTACAATTACATGCATGCACATTCATGCATACACACATACTATACAAATACCAATACTAAAAATAATAATAATAAAAATAGTAATAATGATTGTAGTTATGTAGATTTCTTTGATTTCTTTTTTATTACAAACAACAACAGCAACAAATACATAATTAATAAAAATATTTTAGTTGTAAAAAACAATAAACGGGTTTTCTTTTGTGCATCATTAAGAGATTTAGAGCCCGCTTTGGAATTACAAAACGTAAATTAAATTTAATTGTGAGATATTTTTTCTTATTTGAAGAAATCCCAGACTAGTTTAAAGCCAAATTTATCTCAGTATAATATAAATGTTGGCCTAAGAACACAAACCTCTCAAATTCACTAGAACTTTTCCGCAATCCAAACGGGCTATTCGACGGTGTAAATATATAAAAAACAGTGAATTCGAAACAAACTGCTAAGGTTGTAGCAAATAGAAAATGTTTTTTACACCCTCCACCATTAGATCCAACAAAGTAGTATATGTATATTCTTGATCAGCGTAAAATTCTAAGACGGTTTAGGCCTGTCAGTCCGTCCGTGTGTTGTAATCGCGCTAGAGTCAAAACGAATTAAGATAGAAAGCAAACATTTTGCACAGATTTGTCTGCGGGCAGGTCAAGTTCAAAGGTGGGCTATATCGGTCCACGATATCCTTTACGCCTCACATTTTTGTAATGGAATTGACTGAAATTCTGCACACTGGTTTTCCAAAATTTTGACCCGTTGTGGGGGTTGCCTGAATTAGATATATCCGATATATCCCATCTCCACAACAGATCTTGCGTTGGTAGAAATATTATGATGTGCCGAGTTTAAAATAAGTTGTTGGTTGAGGTACTTGATGGAGTGTACCAATATTGTTCGTTTTCGCACCTCACTCAGCGCTGAAAAAAATATTTGGATTTCAAAATTTCAAACTTTTGTGGGGAAGGTACAAGAAGAAGTGAGCCGATACAGTAATTGTGGCTTTTATATTAACATGCCTCTGCCATGAGCCGTTACTCTATGTATTGTAGATACAAACCATTTGCTCAAAATGCATTTTGTCTAGTCTTTACCATTTTAGGTCTTTGCCAGGAAGACTTCTTCTATTGAAACCCAAGAGGTATTTTCTTCTTTTTCGGAGATCAGGTGGTCTCCTCCTTTCATTGAAACCCAAGAGCTATTTTTCTTCTGTCCTCCATCTATAGATGACCAGGTCGTATTCCTTCAGAAAAGGCCAGGAGATCATTTTCTATAGAAGATTTCTCGAAGATCAGGAAGTCTCCTTCTTCTATCGAAGGCCAGCATTGCTTCGTCTTCTATGGAATACCTACAGTAGAATTATATGCCAAATTAATTTGTAGAATACTTAGACTATGATACGGTATAAAGGGAGTTTTTAGCCACATTTAAAAAAAGGACCAAAACTCTATTAATGGTTAGAATGTTTGACCAAAACTACCCTCGTATTGTCAACGCAAAGGCAACTATTGTCATAATAAATTACAATATTCAAATACGAAACTTGAAAAAATCCGGTGAATATTGTACCTAAAATCGTCAAAATGCCGAATATAGGGAGGTAACGATATAAGGAGCCTATAGGAAGAGATGAATCTGCATAGGTAATTTTCTGCGTAGACAGTAACTCCTATTGCGAATTCTAAAAACGAAATTTGCAAAAAACTAATAATCCCTAAAATCATCAAAATAACGAATATCGGGGTGTACCGTTGTATGGGGGCTACACGATATCGTAAACCTATATGGACAATATTTTTCCAGGGGGTAAAGTACTCAGAAGAAACTATTTGTGACCATTTTCAGACAATTCCATTAAAAATGTAGCTAAAATCATCAAAATATCAAATATAGGGAGGTATCGTTTTATGGGGGATATACGATATCGTGGACCTATATAGGCAATACTCTTTCAGGAGGTAAAGTACTCAGAAGGAACTCCTTGTCATCCAAATACCGAATCGGGTTATATACCCCCCATAAGCTATCGTGCTCCGATATAGCCCATCTTCGAACTTGACATGCCTGCAGACAAAAGTTTGATCTGTGCAAAATTTTAGCTTCCTATCTTAATTCGTTTGACTATAGCGTGATTGAAACATACGAACGGACAGGGCTAAATCGTCTTAGCATTCCACACTAATCAAGAATATATATATATAATTTGTTAGGTCTAAAATTATTATTTCGATGAGTTACAAACGGTATGACGAACTTAATATACCCTCCACACTGGGTATGGTGGAGGGTATAAAAAGGGCGATACAAGTGACTTCGCTTTATAGCTCTACATTCACAATCTACTGGATTTTTCCAATATATATTGAAATTCAAGTCAGTGTTACATTCTATGAAACTAAAGATGATTATCGAAAATATTGCAGAATTCAGTAGTAGGACACCAGTATGAATAATAATTGAAAGTTCCCCAAAAGTACGCATTTATGTCTAAATAGACATTTATTAAATATTTATTTTTCTAAAAAAAATTCACAAAATTAATTTTTTTATAATAAAGTCGACTTATTTCATGTCGTAGAATACAGACAGGAATACATTTACAATGGTAATTATGAAAATACAGGCAAAGGTGAAATTATTAACTCTCGAAGCACCAGCAACATCGGTCTCTTCATTAACATTAACTCTGCTGTTCAGAATCAAACTTATTCCGACAAGAACCTGAAAATATAAAATAAATTGTTGAAATTAAAAAATTTTAACAACAATAAACCAATTAGGGCGGGGCCGACTATATAACAACCTACACCACTATATATATTGCGAATTTATGTGAAGTAGATCATAGCAAAAATTAAATAAACAAAAGTTAAAATTATTCCAGTGACAGCTCATTATACAAAAGCATTTTGGTGAGAATTTTCCAGAAAAAAAGTTATTCGTGATGGAATTCAAGCGTGATGGTGTGATTTCTTTATATTTGGCTGGAAAGCCACAAGTGGCTCGGGATAAAGTCATTGAAATTCCAAAAAGTGGAAAAACTTACACCACAACAAAAAGAAAATAGACTCAAAATAGCTGAAAAGTTTGCTTCACTTGGCCGAAAGTGGTGAACTGCCGAATTCGATGAGAAAACATTCGTTTTCCAGCAGTTTGTAAACAAACAAAATGATCGTGTTTAGTTACCAGAGAGGACAGCTGAAAATGTTCACCTTCGGTTCGCCAGTGGCCACCAGAACTCAAGCGCCGGCCATGGTGATGGTGTGGGCAGCCATAACAGCCGATGGTCGCTCTCCGATCCTATTAATCGACCGTGGCATCAGAATAAATGTCGAATATTATCACTAAAATATTCTGAAGGTTGTATTAAAGCCTTGGTTACGCAAACATTTTGGCCGCAGACTTTGGACATTCCAACAGGATTCAGCACCCGCCACCCAAGAATGGTTACAAAATTAGTTTCCTCGCTTCATTTCCAGCGCACAATGGCCACCAAAATCTCCGGATACCAATCCATTGGACTATTGTGTCTGGGGTATTTTGGAAAGCAAGGTTGGCAATAAAAAATACCAAAGTGACGATCACCTCAAGCAAGCGCTTCGCCGGGAATGGGCCAAAATACTGCAGAGCAACATTCGGGTAGCGTGTGACGGTTTCATTGGCCGTTTGAAGGCCCTAATTCGTGCCAAAGGTGACCAATTCGAACAAATCTAAACTTATTCTAAAATTTGATGCTATTCCCGATATTTTTTGCTTTCATTCTATAAAATTTTTCTCACCCTGTATGGTCTGTTTTATTGCCAATAAACGTCAAATATTCAAAGGATCATTGATTGGGCGCCATCAATACGTGAAAGCGTACCCAGCGTTCGTTCTAAAATCGTACAACTGAACTTAACAACTTAAAATGGGGCAACAAAATCTATAGGCTCTCTGCTTCATTGAAAGGCTAGGACGTTTGCAAAATTCTAATATTTTCACAATTCTTCTTAACTTATTTTATTTTTGGAAATCCGAATTAAATCCTACACCTCGTTTGTTAAATATGTATGCTTAAATATATATTCCGAACTTACTTGAAAGAAAATACTGATCGAAATGAAGACAACGTTTGCCACATAATACGGATGTTTAATCTCCATATCCAACAGCGTTCGCAGCTGATTCACATTTGCGGTTAGCAAAGCTAAATCCATCATTCCTTGACCCAAGGTTTTTCGTTGCTGATAGTTGTGGAATTCGGTTTTGCTAATGTTTTCATTTTCTCTTTTGTCCTTTTTCGATTTTATGGCCTTTAGGGCATCCTCGCTGACCTTAACTAATGGAAGGAAGAAAAGATATGAAATAAATAAATAAATAAATAATGAATAATAATAATTTTACCATCAGCCGAACAATAGAAACAACTCCATGGTGGGCGTTTCTTAGAATGTTGGTGTTGATATTGTGGTTGCGGATTGGCTGAAATTAAGGTTTCTAAAAAAGAAAAAACAAATTTTACATTAAATGAAATTTAAGATTCCAGACTTAGTGTTTTACCTTGTGCCTCAGGCTCCGGTATCTGCTCAATAACCTCCTATAAATATATAACAAAGTTCAAAAAGTTAGCGTGGGAGGATAATGATAAATTTATTATTTTTTATACACGCAGCCATATGGCTACAGAGGGTATATATCATATGGTACAAAACGTGCCTAGTCGAAATAACGGTTTTAGACCCTAGGTCTCTTTGGACCAAATCCGTTTCAGGACATTTGGAGTCGATCTAGCGATGTCCGTCTGTCTGGCTGGCTGGTGCGCACGATAACTCTCGATTTGGTCAAAACTTGGTACATTGTAATATTTTTGTCAAACCTAGATGGAGTTCGGAGATTCGGTCCACTTCTTCTAGTACCTCCCCCACAAAAGTTAGAAATTTTCAAAAAATATATTTTTTGCACAGAAAGAGAAAGCATAATCCGATTTTGCTAGAACTTTGCGAATTCTAATATTTGCGTCAGTGCTAGGTCAAGTGCAAAAACGGAAAATATCGGTCCACTCCATCAAGTACCTCCCCCAAAAAAGGGTCAAAATTTTGAATAATTACAACTCTTATAAAAATTGAAGTAAGAGTCCGATTATCTTTAAATTTCACACATCCCAATACTTTTATTAACCCAAGGTCTGACGAGAAGGGGGAATACATCGGTCCCCTCCTTCTAGTACCTTCCTCACAAAAGGTCGAAATTTTCAAAAAATATATTTTTTCTGCCCAGAAAGAGAAAGGATAATCCGATTTGGCTCCAACTTTGCAAATCCTAATATTTGCTTCAGTTCTAGGTCAAGTGCGAAAATGGACAATATTGGTCCACTCCATCAGGTATCTCCCCCAAAAAGGGGTCAAAATTTTGAATAATTACAACTCTTATAAACTGTGAAGTAAGAATCCGATTGTCTTCAAATTTCAAACATTCCAAAATTTTAATTAACCCAAGATCTGGTGTTAGGATGGAAGATATCGGTCCACTCTTTCTAGTACCTGCCCCACAAAAGATCGAAATTGTGAATATCCATTAAGCTCATAAAACGCGGAATTAACATCCGATTCCACTTAGACTTGGTACCACTGAGTATTTCTACTAACACAGGATCTGTTATAAAGAAGGTAGAGATCGGAGAATTCCTCGGGTACCTCCCCCACATGGAGTCCAATATTTTGAAAAACAAAACGCTAAGGAAAAATCGAAATAAGCTTTCAAATTTCTTCTGATTTCACACATACAAACATTTTTGTTAATACAAGGTCTATTGTGAAGTTGATATATATCTGCGAACCCCTTCTGGTACCACACCCACAATAATTCAATAATTTTATCTGTCATAACTTGCGAAACAATTCAGCGATTCTTTATAACTTCCTATATCTGAATATTTCCCTCAAACAGAAATCTGATATGAATATGTGATATATTGGCCAACTTCGGAACTTTCCCCGTTAATGGGCAACAGTTTGAATAATCATAACTCAAGGCTGGAGGTATACATCTGTCGGCAAAACCGACTGATACTATTTTACTTGTTTTTTTTATAATTTTTTTTTTGACATTTCTTCCATTCATAGACGTTTGCATTTTCATAGAACAAGAAATATTGAAATTCTGATCACTTGAAAATAAAAACTGCCGATGCATCGAACAATATCAAAATTTAAAATTCGAAATTTCCTAATTTACAAAGATATTCCTCCAAGTTGACTTGTTTGGAGACACACACACACACCTCACTTGTGGAGCACCTCTTTTGACCCAAACCGGTAGAAAAACTCAGTTCCATTTTATTTTCGATTGCACTTCCGAGAGGACGTATTGCTTCTACTAGTGGTACGCACTAACTGAAAGAAAAGCTATGAATGCACATTTTATTGGCATGGTCATGCAAGTTATTGGTGGCCACATTTTCATATAAATATCGACTATTAGTAATCATTTAAATTTAAATTGTTTTTTTTTTAATAAAATTTGATTACAGATGCATGTTGGTAAGTTGTAAAAATGGATATATATGGGAGTCATAGCTATATCTATCTAACTTGACGGGACATAACCCAAAATACACTTCAATTGAAAAAATTTTGATATTTGCATCAAAACATATATTTGAGTCATGTAAATATGTTAAAGATAATGTTCCATTTTAAATTAAGTATATGCTTTTCTATTGGAGCAATTTTTTTCAGGATCACACTATGATACAGCTATATGGACTATGAGAGCCGGTGGTCTTGTTCTAATACTTATTCCCATAAATTACAAATTTTTAAAATAAGAATAGCAAATTAGACGCCTAAAAGTATGCTTCAAATTTTACATATTTATTTATTGTGAGTTGACATGGTTGCCATCTTAAGAAAATGTATTCAATTTCGTGCTTCAATAACTGCAATAGTGAGGGTTTAAGCGTGAATAAATATAAAACGTTTTTTTCTGGCATTCCACCTGGCCTGGCCTTCTCGTGAAAGAATAAAGCTCTTTGGGGCGACCTAGTTTAAATTATGGGCCGAAATTTTTTATTGACATTTATTATCCGATTGAGATGAAATTTACTAAACTATTTTTGTTTGGCCCAAGGACGAACCCTATTGAAATTGACGGGAATCGGTTCAAATTTAGATATAACTCCCATATACAGGGTGAGATGAAAAACTGCAACAAAGTCAAACGCAAAAATGTTTACATTTTTTTTAATTTTATTAAATGAAAGCAAAAAATGTCGGAAATAGAATCAAATTTTAGAATAAGTTTAGATTTGTCCGAATTGGTCACCTTTGACACTTAATATTAGAATTTTTGAAAATATTAGAATTTTGGAAATGTCTGGGCCTTTCAATGAAGTAGAGGGCGTATTGATTTTGTTACCCCATTTTAAGCTTTTTTACTAAGCCAAAAAATAAGGACAAAAAATAAGGTTCAGTTGTATGATTTTAAATCGAAAGTTTATACAGCTTTCACGTATTGATGGCGCCCAATCAATGATCCTCTGAATAGTTGACGTTTATTGGCAATAAAACAGACCATACAGGGTGAGATAAATTTTATTGAATGTCGGAAATGCCATCAAATTTTAGCATAAGTTTAGATTTGTTCGATTTGGTCACCTTTGGCACGAATTATGGCCTTCAAACGGCCAATGAAACCGTCAGACACTGCCCGAATGTTGCTCTGCGGTATTTTGGCCCATTCCCGGCGAAGCGTTTACTTAAGGCGATCGACACTTTGGTATTTTTTAGTGCCAACCTTGCTTTCCAAACTACTCCAGACACAATACTCCAACGGATTGGTATCCGGAGATTTTGGTGCCCATTGTGCGCTGGAAATGAAGCGAGGAACCTCATTTTGTAACCATTCTTGGGTGGCACGTGCTAAGTGCGATGGTGTTGAGTCCTGTTGGAATGTCCACGGTCTGCGGCCATAAAGTTTGCGTGACCATGACTTTAATACATCCTCCCGAATTTTTTCGCGATAATATTCGGCATTTATTCTGATGCCATGGTCGATTAATACGAGCGGAGAGCGACAATCGGCTGTTATGGCGGCCCACATCATCACCATGGCCTGTGCTTGAGTTCTGGTGGCTAACCAAAGGTGTACATTTTCAGCTGACCGACCTCTTTGGCAAGTAAACACGATCATTTTGTTTGCTTAAAAACAGCTGGACAACGAATGTTTTCTCATCGGAGACGGAGAAAGCTGAATTCGGCAGTTCACCACTTTCGGCCAAGCGAAGCACTTTTTTAGCTTTTTTAAGTCTATTTTCTTTCTGTTGCGGTGTAAATTCTTGCACATTTTATAATTTCAATGGCTTTACCCCGAGCTCATTTTTCAATATTTGCCGAATGGAATATTGCGAAACCATTTTTCGGCCACTGCAACGTGGTTTTCGATCAAGTCGCTTCTTTACTTTTCGAACCATTTCTGCTGATGTTGCTGTTTTCTTCCGTCCATTTCTTTAACGTCGGGCTACGCTACCAGTATTGCGGTAACGAGCAATGGAAAGAGACACAAAAGATTTATTCACATTTAAATGCTGGAATGCTCTAACGATAGCCACTTTTGGTTTTCCAGCCAAATATAAAGGAATCACACTATCACGATTGAATTCCATCACGAATAACTTTTTTTCTGAAAAATTCTCACCAAAATGCTTTTGTACGCTTGTAAACAATATAATGAGCTGTCACTGCAAATAATTTTAACAGCTTTCGGACGAGTGGCTTTGAAGTGACAGCTTGCAGTTTTTTCATCTCACCCCGTATGTAGTTCCCCTATATATTCAAAGTGGTGTAGGGTATCATAAAGTCGACCCAGCCCGACTTTAGCTTTTCTTTACTGGTTTTTACTGTCATTTTTTTCCAGTGTACAATAAAAAATTAAAAAAAAAACACCCACAGTGTTATTCACACTTCCATAAATGTCTTTGAATTAATCGTTGATAGGCTTTGTCAGTAGCCTAATTTGGATGTTGTTATTTCATTTCGTCCAAAAATGTTGTTTTCTTAATCATCGAAATTGTAACAACATTTACAGATGTCGTCGAAAATTACACACACATTTGTAATCCACTGAATACATATAAGCTTGTATTATATTAAACTCTACTGTGATAAAGGGGACATTTTAACTCTTTTGTAGCTCCCAGAAAATTTACAATTTCGGCGAGAGAAAGTCAGTTTTTTTTTAACCGACACCACACCGTAGTACAGGGTATTACATTTGTGTGTATTTGTTTGTAACATAGAGAAGGAAGCGAGATAGACCCATAGGTCTTTCTGATGATCTTCGTAGAATCACATTCCGTCCGATATAGCTCCCATATATGTCTTCGTCCGATTTTTTTTTATTGGGCACTAAATGTGTAATATTAGTCCAAATAGGATGGAATCTGGTACATACGACCAAATTAGGTCTGAAAATAAGCATGCAAATTTTATCGAAATCGGTTCAGATATAGCTATAGCTCCCATACATATTGTTCATCCGATTTGTTATTTTTGTTCTCCACAGCCGAAGTATACACTCTTTAATAACTATATTTGGGGAAATATATCAAATACAGCTCAGAAATACCCTTTCCAAATTTTGTCGAAATCGGTTCAGATTTAGGTATAGCTCTCATAAATCTTCGTCCGATTTGCCTTTTATTGTGCACTAAACGTGTAGAATTAGCGCAAATGTGATGGAATTTGGCACTTACGACCAAATTGAGTCTAGAAACAAGTGTGTCAAATTTGGTGAAAATCGGTTCAGATGTAGCTATAGCCCCCATTAAATTATAATCATAGTTGGTATGATTTAATTCTTTCAAATTCCCCATAAGAACTTTTATTTGTTATGTGAAGCTCTACTAAATATGCAAAGTGCTGTAGGGTATCATAAAGTCGGTCCCGCCCAAATTTGAGTCGTTCTTTACTGGTTATTACTTAATTAGAATTTACTCCTGTTAAATACGCTAAGATTAATATTGAACATATGATGGCGAATGGACTACGGAGATGTTTCCGAACATCAAGTTTGTGTGGTTTAATTGATGATCGGGAATTTGACGTTTTCCGACGTATCGTAAACGAGAAATTGAACCAGTCGTAAAAAATAATGATGATGTAGGGTTTTTTTCAAAATGGGGACTCGGGTGGTTGATGTGAAATGTGATTAGCTGACGATTCGGAGGTGATCGGGTACTCGTAGATGACGGTCGAACGTTGATTGGTGGTGAATATCGGGAATTATCATGTTGCGTTCGGTTGACGCTGGCGTTGACGATTTGAAGGTAATAGTGAACATGTGGTCGTCGGTTTGACTTTTGTCAGAAAATACGATTTTTGTGTTCGGGTTAATGATTTGAAGGCAAACGGGAACATTTGGTCCTCGTTTGTCGACAGTTTTACCGATGTTAGAAATTACGATATTAGGCTCGTTCACATTGGCGATCGGGATGTTATCGATTTAATGGGGAACTTCATTGGGTTGACGAACGGTGAACAATCGAGGTATGCGATGTGTGTGGTTGGGATGTTGATAGACAGGTGTTCGGAGGCGGATTAGGGACTTGTGGTATAAATGTTAGCAATTCTCTGTGGAGATACTCGGGACCATCTGTCCAGGTCTTCGTAGACGAATTAAGATTCGTCGGGGTTTGGCAGCTCACTAAGGTTTGCCAACCGATGTCTAAGTTTTTGTAGATGGATCGGAACTCGTTCAGGTTCGGCAGCTCGTTGAGGAAATGTTCAGGTTTAGCTATACGGATCGTCTACAGTGGTAGGTAACTATTCTAGCTAGCGCTACGGTTTATAACTACATCTGCTCTACTACCAATGTTTGACTATGATTCGAAACAAGGAGTCGAAGCTCCTGCGGAACAGTAAACCGAAACTCCTGCGGAACTAGGAGCCGAAGCTCCTGCGGAACAACGAGCCGAAACTTCTTCGAAAATAAATTACCGGCCACACAGCTTAATGAGAACCAGTATCGAAAAAGGTTAGATGGGAATACCTTTTTCGAGACTGGCTCTCATTAAGCTGTGTGGCCGGTAATTTTTTTACAAAGAAGTTTCGGCTCCTAGTTCTGTAGGAGTTTCGGTTTACTGTCGCTTATGATAGTCGGAGGACGAAATGATTTGAAATCACTAGCCTATGGCAAGCACCCTGCAGTAGCAAGCCTCCCCTATCGTACCGCAAACCGAACACTATATGTGACCGGCCCAACCAAGTCAATGAGAATTCTTAGCATTATGCTGTGAACGGAACAACGAGCCGAAACTTCTTCGCAAATGAATTACCGGCCACTCAGCTTAATGAGAGCCAGTCTCGAAAAAGTTATTCCCAGCTAACGCTTATGATAGTCGGAGCACGGAAATGATTTGAAATCACTAGCCTTTGGCAAGCCCCCTGCAGTAGCGAGCCTCCCCTATCGTACCTCAAATCGAACACTATATGTGACCGGCCCTACCAAGTCAATGAGAATTCTTAGCCATATGCTGTGAAAGGAATACCACTGAAAACTAACTTGTTCACTATGCGCCCAATGAACACGGTGCTTGTTGACTGGTGCTGTTATCGCCGCCCGTCTCGTCGGCCGTTACGTCGCTGGCGCTACACATTTAATACTAAAATGTTGACAAAAAATAATAAAACTTTTCGTTTTTATACCCTCCACCATACTATGGAGGGTATATTAACTTTGTCATTCCCTTTGTAACTCCTCGAAATACTCATGTCAGACCCAACAAAGTATATATATTCTTGATCAGCGTAAAATTCTAAGTCGATTTATTGATATCCGTCTGTCTGTCGGCGTGTCTGTCTGTCTGTTGTAACCACGCTATCTTTCGAACGAATTGAGATAGAAAGCTAACACGTTGCACACATTTATTTTGATGATTTTTGCGACATTATTCACCGGAATTGTTTCAAATTTGGTATTTGAAGTTCGAAATGGATACTACAACCTAAGGCAGAAAATTGTCCGTGCAGGTGCAGGTCCACGTCTTCGTAAGCCCCCATATAATGGTACCTCCCGGTATTCTGTATTTTGATGATTTTAGCGACATGTTTCACCGGAATTGTTTCGAATTTGGTAAGGTGCAATTGGCAGGTGCAGCTCTTCGGCCACATATATCAATACCTCCCAATACTCGGTATTTTGGCGATTTTAGATATAATATTCTCCAATTTTTTTGAAATTTCGTATTTGAATTTTTGAACAATAGCCAAATAAACTTGGATGTTTTAAAGAATTTTTGTTTTCAAGGAACAATAGCCAAATTGACGTGGATTTTTTAAAGAATTTTTTTAAGAAACAAAACCCAAAAAACTTGGATTTTTTAAAGAATTTTTTCCAAGGACCAATAGCCAAATAAAGGACCAAACGCCAAATAATTGTGATTTTTTTTAATATTTTTAATATTTTTAATATTATTATTTATTATTAATATTTTTTCCAAGGACCAACAGCCAAATAATGGACCAAACGCCAAATAATTATGAATGTTTCAGACAAATTTTTTCCAAGGACCAACAGCCAAATAAAGGACCAATCACCAAATAATTATGGATGTTTTAGAAAAATTTTTTCCAGGTCGAACAGCCAAATAAACGTGGGATTTTTAAAGATTTTTTTCCAAGAACCAACAGCCAAATAAACGTGTGATTTTTAAAGATTTTTTCCAAGAACCAACAGCCAAATAAATGTGGATTTTTTTAAAGATTTTTTTCGAAGGACCAACGGCAAATAAACGTGGAATTTTAACTAATATTTAAAAAGAAAAAATCTAAGGTGCAATCTAAGGTGCCAAATAATTGTGGATTTTTTAGACAAATTATTTCCAAGGACTAACAGCCAAATAAACATAGAATTTTTAAAGATTTTTTTCCAAGGACCAACGGCCATATAAACGTGGAATTTTTAAAGATTTTTTTCCAAGGACCAACAGTCAAATAAACGTGGGATTTTTAATTAATTCTTTTTTTCAAGGAACAATAGCCAAATAAACGTGGATTTTTTAAAGATTTTTTTCCAAGGACCAACGGCCAAATAAACGTGGAATTTTTAAAGATTTTTTTCCAAGAACCAACAGCCAAATAAACGTGGATTTTTAATTAATATTTAAAAAGAAAAAAATCTAGGAACCAATTGTAAAATAACCCTGAATTATGATAAAAAAAATAAACGTGAATTTAAAACAAAATTCTAAGGACCAACAGCCAAATAAACCTGGATTTTTAAAGAATATAATGGCTTTATTTATATATATATTTTTTAAAATTTTCAAAATTCGTTCTAAATGCTGAGGGGTATCCAAAGATCGGCCCGGCCGAACTTACTGCTTTTTTACTTGATGGTGGTTGTCTTTGTTGACAAAATAAAATAATAAAACATTTCGAATTTATTCTCCTAATTTTATTAACATGAAAAAATGTTTCAAGAAAAAGAATACTTTAAAAATAATCGTCATAAATGCAAATCTTAAAATACATCTAAAAATATAATATATTTTATAATTTTTATTTAACAAATATAAGATCTGTTCACAGAGATCTTAAAAATGAATATAGCTATATTTATTTCGGAGGATTATCACGTTTCCTTATTGCTTTGTTTCAATACAATGTTTTAATAAATATCTGCACTGGGAAAGTTTAGAACTTATATTATAAATTACATAATTATATCGCCACTGGCTATTTTAATAATTTTTAAAAAGGTGAAAATTTAAATATCTCTTACGCTCATTTTTTACTGGACTTGTTAACATTTGGTAACTTTTTTGTACGGATTGTTTAGCTACTTACACTAAACGGATTTTTTTAAGATCTTATTCTTACAAGGTTCACCTTAAATTACAATTTACAAAATGAAATCGTTGAGATTTTTGTTCTAAAGGGCATTACAATTAAACATTCGAAACACAAGGTAGCCTATTCTTAATATTCTACACATAAAAAAATAAAGTATCAATTCTTTTAAATGTCCTTAAATTTTAAGTATTCCGTTCCGCAGGATCCGCAACACCAAAGGCAGAGATGAAAACATTCACTACCGTCACAATAAATATACCAATAACGGTATAGTTATTGATTTTATTTGCCCGGCAAATTTCCCGTTCATTTTTGATGTTATATTTACTATTCAGAATTAGGCCAACGCCTACAGCGATCTGCAACAAAGGAACACACACACAAATTATTAAAATAACAAAAATCTATGCCATCTTACACCCACCTGAAATATAATGCTCAACGAAATGAACACCAAACTGGGATAATAATACGGATGACGGTCATATGACTCCAAAACGTAACGCAATTGATTAGCATTTGCCGATAGCAAGGCCAAATCCATCATTCCCTGGGCCAAGGTCTTTTTGTGTTGATAGGCATTGACATCGGGTATGGGTGTATCGACACCATTAATTGTCACAAAACCAGGACCCGCATAGCCGGGGAAACTAAAACTAGGACGTCGCGAAGGCTTCTCGGGTGTTCTGGACGGCACATCATGACCACCGTTTGGCAGCAGTCCATCATCCACTCCCATTCGGGGTCCTACGGCAAAAGGTCGATCATCATATTCATCTTCATCGGCCTCAGATACTTTTTTTGTCAAAGCAAAATGGTAAACAAAAGCAAAGTGGGAAAGGAGAACGGGAAAGAAACAAAAAAGGAAAACATATCGTAAGTAACTAGCTGTTCTACAGTAAAATATAACAAAAAGGGGATGCAAAATAAAAACATACATAAATTTCTAAGAGGATTAAACTAAAGAGAGTTGTTCTGCAAATAAAAATGGTTTTAAGGATCTTCTATAGGCAGAAGGCCTTGGCAGGTCTTCTATAAACAGAAGTCTTTTAAAAGGTCTTATATATATTGCTATAAATATTACAGGGAAATTTTGATAATTTAGATAGATTTGAATTGAAAGGTTCATTTTTATTAAATAGCTGTTATACCCTTCACCATAGTATGGAGGCTATATTAAATTTGTCATTTCGTTTGTAACACCTCGAAGACCCCACAAATTATATATACGCTTAATCAGCATAAAATTCTATGTCGATTTAGTGATGTCCGTCCGTCTGTCCGATTAAGTAGGTGATAAATTTTTATTCAGATATGGTTTAGATCTGGAAAAATGGCCTATATAGGTCCACGTTTTGTAATAGCCCCATATAACAAATTTAATTTTTTTTTTTGGTGTTTTAGTCACAATTTCAAACCGAATTTGCTCTAAACTGGGAGTATTTGTTCCCAGTATGTAGGCAACATCCTTGTATAAAACAGTCCATATTGGTCCACGTTTTAGTAAAGAACCATGTACCTTCGGATATTTGATGATTTGTGTAACAATTTTCACCCGAAATGTTTAAAATTTCATATTTGGAGTTCGTCATGGGAACTTTCTTTTATGACACAAAATTTCCTGGACAGGTTCACACCTTCGTATAACCCCATACAACGGGGCCTCCCCATATTCGGTATTTTGATGACATTAGCCACAAATTATATATACCCTTAATCAGCATAAAATTCTATGTCGATTTAGTGATGTCCGTCCGTCTGTCCGATTAAGTAGGTGATAAATTTTTATTCAGATATGGTTTAGATCTGGAAAAATGGCCTATATAGGTCCACGTTTTGTAATAGCCCCATATAACAAATTTAATTTTTTTTTGGTGTTTTAGTCACAATTTCAAACTGAATCTGCTCTAAACTGGGAGTATTTGTTCCCAGTATTTAGGCAACATCCTTGTATAAAACAGTCCATATAGGTCCACGTTTTGGTAAAGAATCCTATACCTCCGGATATTCGGTATTTTGATGATTTGTGTCACAATTTTTAACCGAAATGTTTAAAATTTCATATTTGGAGTTCGTCATGGGTACTTTCTTTTATGACACAAAATTTTCTGTGCAGATCCACACCTTCGTATAACCCCATACAACGAGACCTCACCATATTCGGTATTTTGATGACATTAGCCACATTTTTTAAAAGAATTATCCCGAACATGGTATTTTCAGTACGTAACAGGCATCAGCTTCTCTGTCAAATAATTGGCTATATGGGTGCACGGTTAGGTATAGATCCTATATAACTAACCTTCACACATTCGGTATTTTGATGATTTGGTTTACCGGGATTTTTATCGAATTTGTAATGGGTACTATTTCTAAGATAAAAAATGCCTATACAAGTCCACATTTTCATATAGCACATATATATATAACTGTACCTCCCTATATTCAATTATGTTGACAATTTTTGCCACATCTTTCACCAGAATTATTTCAAATTTAGAGTTCGTAGTGGGCACTAGTGAACCTATGACAAAAAATTACCCATGCCTCACAATATTCATTTGGTGATTTTTAGATAAATTTTTTAACTGAAGTATTTAAAACTTGATATAAACACCTCCTCCTCTGGCAGATAATTGGCTCCTATGATACACATTTACGTATGGGCCCATATAATCGTAACACCTGAGCGGTATTTTCAACAGATTTTTTTTTATATTTTGCCAATTCTAAATAATGGATTGTAGTAGCAGATCGGTCCGATCTTATCTACTTTTTAATCGTCAGATTTTTATTTGAATCAGTTTACAACAACAATTTCTGTACAGAATTTTTATACCCTCCACCATACTATGAGGGGTTTTTGTATAGCCCCCATATAAGAGTTCCTCCCGATATTGGGAATTCCGACCAGTATATAGCCCCATATAATAGTACCTTCCGATATTAGTCATTTGGACGATTTAGCCAAAAAATAATATCTAAAAATCACCCTTCTATAGAAAGATTTGTTCTCAAGTATTCAGTGAAGTGGTAACAGACAGTAGACCTCAAAAATTCTTCTATTGTCAAAAGGCCTGCAAAAGTTTTTTTTTTTAATTTTCTATATTCAGCAGTTCCGTAACAGGGACTGGCAACAGGTGGAAGACCTCTAAAGGTCTTCTAAAGTCAGTGAACTTGTGTCAGTTCTGCATATAGCAGCAGGCTCTTACTAAGTTGCATATAGACAGAAGCACTGTAGCAGGTCTTCCATAACGATCACATTCAGATTATACCGATATCCCTACTTACTTGTTTTGGGAATTTTTGGTACATGGCCATCGATGTAATCGATATCTTCGGGAGGAAATGTCTCTGTGGCCTGAAAGCATAAGAAAAAGTTTAAATATTAAACGACAATATATTCCAGCAAATATGTATCCTAAGAATAACAATTAAAAAAGCAGCTAAGTTCGGCCTGGACGAACTTTTAATATCCTCCACCATTGTGAAGGATCTTGAAAAATTATAAAAAAAAATCCGTCGAAAAATGACACTTAAATGAAAACCGTTCGTTATACGAAGAAGTGAACCTGCGTAGGCAATTTTTCGTCGTAGGTTCTAGAACTCATTACGAGCTTCAAACTTTAAATACGAAATTTGATACAACTCCTGTCAAAAATGTCGCTTTACAAGCGTACAAAAGCATTTTTGTGAGAATTTTGCAGAAAAAAAATTATTCGCGATAGTGTGATTTCTTTATATCTGGCTGGAAAACCACAAGTGGCTATCGTTAGAGCACTCCAGAATTTATTTGTGAATAAATCTTTTGTGTCTCGTACCATCGCTCGTTACCGTGATACTGGTAGCGTAGCCCGACGTCAAGGAAGTGCACGGAAGAAAACATCAACATCATCAGAAATGGTTCGAAACGTAAAAAAGCGACTTAATCGAAACCCGCGGCAAAAAAAAAGCTGAACATATCGCAATATTCTATTCGGCAAATATTGAAAAATTAGCTCGGGGTAAAGCCATTGAAATTCCAAAGAGTGCAAGAACTTACACCGCAACAGAAAGAAAATAGACTCAAAAGAGCTAAGTAGTTGCTTCGCTTGGCTGAAAGTGGTGAACTGCCGAATTTGGTTTTCTCCGTCTCCGATGAGAAAATATTCGTTGTCCAGCAGTTTGTAAACAAACAAAATGATCGTGTTTACTTGCCAAAGAGGTCAGCTGGAAATGTGCACCTTCGGTTGGCCACCAGAACTCAAGGGCCGGCCATGGTGATGGTGTGGGTCGCCATAACAGCCAATGGTCGCTGTCTGCTCGTATTAATCGTCCGTGGCATCGGAATAAATGACGAATATTATCGCGAAAATATTCTGGAGGGTGTATTAAAGCCTTGGGCACGCAAACATTTTGGCCGCACACCTTGGACATTCCAACAGGACTCAGCAGCATCGCACTCAGCACGCGCCACCCAAGAATGGTTTCAAAATGAGGTTCCTCCTGCATTTCCAGCGCACAATGGCCACCAAAATCTCCGGATACCAATCTATTGGACTATTGTGTCTGGAGTAGTTTGGAAAGCAAGGTTGGCACTAAAAAGTTTCCAAAATGACGATCACCTCAAGCAAGCGCTTCGCCGGAAATGGACCCAAATACCGCAGAGCGATATTCGGGCAGCGTGTGACGGTTTCATTGGCCGTTAATTCGTGCCAAAGGTGACCAATTCTAACAAATGTAAACTTATTCTAAAATGTGATGCTATTTTCCACATTTTTCTTGGCTTTCATTTAATAACATTTCAAGAAAATGTAAAAATTATGGCGTTTGACTTTGTTGCAGTTTTTTTATCTCACCTTGTATATGTTCTTAAAAAAATATCACTAAAAACTCATAAATATACTTTTAAAAATTTTGCAATATGAAACGTTATCCCACATTAAACTTAATTTTTCCTCGTTGCTCGACATATAAAATCATCGTTTTACAAGCCTCTTCTTAGTACCAGCAAGTAAATACTTGCTTGAAAAACTGCCAATAGATGACGTAGAAAAACAAAACACACAACAACATTTTATTGCTATAACAAATTTCGATATGTTTAGTAAGTCGATAGACACGTTTTGTGCTCCCGAAACTAGAATTTTTTATTGATCGTGAAGCCTTCACATTGTTCTCGCAATGAGATAATGACTAAGTCGTCGTACAACCATAGCCAACTTCATGAAGCATTTTTTTGTTTTTTGTTTATGTTGTTGTTATTTTGTTTACATCATAATTTTTTTTGTTTTTGTTTTTTTTTAATTCCAGTTTTATAGACATTTTGCTTCTATATAAAGTTAAATAGAATAGAAAAAATCGAACAAGTATCGATCGATAATAAATCATCAGCCCGGAGGAGATATTGAAACAATTAATAATGTTGAGCAAAAAGTCAGCATCTTTTATTAATTTATATGAGATTTGTAAATGTATTTGAAAATATAACCGAAATTCGCCTAAAATTTTTGTAATACCACTAACTAGCTGCCGCTAATAGATTAATATCTTTTTCAAATCTGCATTAAATTTTAGGTACTTTTTACAAAAGGTCGAGCGAGGCCGACCGTTGAATACCCTACAACACTATAATAAACGATACAGTTTATATAGGCAAGATACTCGAAAGAATTCCACAAGATATTGTGACAAATAATACAAGAAAACCATCAGGTTTCGTTCTCTAATTTCGAATAATAGCAACTTAAACTAATTTGCTCATTTCCAATTTATTGGTAGATGTTGCACGTAAATGGTCTTCCTAGATCTGAACCAATATTTCCCAAAGACCTATAATCTCTCAGAAGTGGCAAAAGATTAACAGTTATTATAGGTTTTTGACTGAAATGCATCTATATAAGATACAGTCATTTGACTATATTCAAAAAGTCACTGGAATGGACCTTTTCGTATTTTGTCTACAAAAGTTGGCAAACTCCTTCACACATTGAATATTTTTGGATGGCCATCCAAAACTGCTTGGGTTTTGAAATGTCCGGTAATCTCCATTCAAATGTGCGTGAGGATCGGACGATAATTACGACCTCCTGACAATTTTGCAGTTTTTTTGGTCCATTACAACCCCTATATATATGGCGATCATCTCCAAAAAGAGTAGGCTTCTACTCTGACCCTCATCTTATCCCCATGCAAAATTTCGTAAGGATCGGGCCTTAAATGCGATCTGTATATAATATCCTGATATTCTAACTACTTAGTTTTGTTAGCTGTAGAAATATTACCAAATGTTTAATTCAAAATGAAAATATGCCAAAAATATGACAAAATTGAAAAAATATGAGAAAATGTTACAAAACCAATATTTTCATCTTTAGAGAGATATTTTTATGCGATTTTTTAGACGTTTTTTCTTTCCTGCCAAAAGGCAATTCTGAATTAATGAGAACTGTCGAAATAAGTTCAGCCGTTCTCGACTAATAAGAGATCTTTCAAGCATATCTTCTTTGATAGACATATATATCGCACATATTTTGCTATATATCCGATTTGTTGGATGTTAACATCAATGTAAAGATCAGAAGTAACCTTGTCATGGCTTTGTGATTTCGCCGGGATTTAAAATATTCGCGGTTTAATAAAAAATTTTGAATTTTTTCAACACAAAAGATATGGTATATTTTACCCGCTAAATATTATCCGATGACCACCCAAATTGGTAGGATTCTTTCCCGCCCTAAACTCTAGCTACATGCGAAATTCCGCGTCGATTGGTCTATAATTGCGACCTGTATAGCTACTGCAAAATCTGACATTTTTTTAGTAGTTGGTCCATTTCAACCTCTAAACATTTGGCGATCATCTCCAAAAGAAATAGGGTTCTATTCTGACCCTAGCCCCACCACCATTCTAAATTTCGTAAAAATCGGGCCATAATTGCGACCTGTAGAGTGATTACAAATTAACATGGACAGACGGACAGACGGACGGACGGACATACATAGCTAAATCGACTCAGCTCGACGAGATAGGAAGATCCATATATACTTTCCTATGTGGGAAATCAATATTTCGTGGAGTCACATAATTTTTGGCCCAATCAAACTTATAATACCCCCAACACATAGTGTTGTAGGGTATAAATAGTTTACAAGAATTTTAACAGCTGTAGGGTCTACTTACCCCGTATTAGATCAAAGAGGAAGTCATGTTGCATAAAAGTCATATCAATTAATTATTCTATAATTAGAATGCCAGATGTTTTTTTATTTGCGACTTCTTCGGCTTGGTGCTGGCTTGTCGGTTATTTGTTTAGAACTCGTGACATTCTGCTAAGTAGTTAGTCATACAACACTCGCTGAGTGACAGAAATAATTTTGATTTTCTTCTAAATGTACAGATGCTATTATATCATATATTAAACCTATATTCAAGCTATTAATTCGAATTTTTTATACCCTCCACCACAGTATGGAGGGTATAATAAATTTGTCGTTCCGTTTGTAACACCTCGAAATACTCATGTCAGAGCCAACATATTGTTGATCAGCGTAGAATTCTAAGACGGTTTAGCAGTGTCCGTTTGTGGAAATCACTCTAGCTTCCGAACAAACTGAAGTAGGTTGATAAAGTTTTTTTTTGAATATTATGTCTGCAGGATATTTAGTATTGAAAATAGGTCATGTAGGTCTACGTTTTGGTATAGCCCCCATATAACTGTACCTCCCTATTTTGAGTATTTGGATGATTTTAGCGACATTATCCACCGGAATTGTTTCAAATTTGATATTTGAAGTTCGTAATGGATACTTTAGTCTATGACAGAAAATTGTCTGTGCAGGTCCACGTCTTCATATAGCCCCCATATAACAGTACCTCCCGATATTCGGTATTTTGATGATTTTAGCGACATTATTCACAGAAATTGTTTTAAATTTGGTATTTAAAGTTCTTAATGGATACTACATTCTAAGACAGATAATTGTCTGTGCAGGTCCACGCCTTCGTATAGCCTGCATATAACAGCACCTCCCAATATTCGGAGTTTGGATGATTTCAGCGACATTATTCACTGGAATTGTTTCAAATTTGGTATTTGAAGTTCGTAATGGATACTACAGCCTAAGACAGAAAATTGTCTGTGCAGGTTCACGTCTTCGTAGAACCCCCATATAACGGCACCTCCCGATATTCGCTATTTTGATGAAGTATTTGAAGTTCGTAATGGATACTATAGCCTATGACAAAAAATTACGTATACAGGGCCACGTCTTCGTATAGCCTCCATACAACGGTACCTTCCAATATTCGGTATTTTGATGATTTTACTGACATTTTTCACCGGAGTTGTTTCAAATTTCGTATTTAGGGTTCGTAATGGTAACTAAGGTCCAGTTCTTCGCATAAGCCCCATATACCAGTACCCCCCCCCCCCTTTATTCGGCGTTTTGGGGATTTTAGTTACAATATTAACCGAAATTGTTTGAAATTTCGTATTTGAAGTAACTAATGGGTACAACAGCATGTCACAGAAAATTGTCTATGCAATGTCTTCGTATAGCCCCTATATTCGGTATTTTGATGATTTTAGCTACATTGTTCGCCGTTTTTTTTTTTCCAGTTTTGTATAGACCCCAATATAACGCATTTAACAGATTTTTTAACGGACTTTTCTTTTGAAAATTCCAAATTTGTTCCCAATGGTGGAGGGTATTCAAAGTTAGGATCGGCCAAACTAACTGCATTTTTACTTGTATTGTACTATCTATCAAACATATTTTCTAACGTTTAATTTGATTTTTTTCTTTATAATTATGTATATTTTTTTTGCATTTTTTGTAGCATTCTTGCGAGAATGAAAACTATTTTATCGTCGGATATCGGATTAAGCATCGAAAGAATGAGCCCATTCGTTCGAATCCGGCTTGTCATTCCCATGTAATGTGTTTCATCTTATGAATAATGAATTGAATTTAATTTCAATTAATTCTAGTAATTATTTCATTTGAAGTGCAAATATTGATGTCGTTGTTTGTGCATAATGTGAAAATTATTTGTGTCTTTTTATTTTTAATTATCTTTAATTGATCCAACTTAAAATTCAAAATAATGTTCAGGTAAGAAATGTTAACAGAAGAGTCACAATACAGTACATATATGATAAACCAGTAAAAAAGTCTTAAAGTCAGGCGGGGCCGACTTTATGATACCCTACACCACTTTGCTATACTAACTCCGCATAACAATTTAAAGTTTTTTTATGGGAGAATTCAATCATACACGATATGCTTAAAATTATAATTTAAAGTTCAATATGCCGAAGCATTTGTATCTTTTAAATTCGGACTTGTATTGCCCATTTGGTGCACAATTAATTTTAAATCGGATAAAGATATATATGGGAGCTATATCCAAATCGGAACCGATCTCGATAAAAATTGGCAAAGATATTTCTGAGCGGTATTTGATATATTTTCCTGAATATTGTTGTTACAGAATGCATATTACGGCTGCGGAGGACAAAAATAACAAATCGGATGAACAATATATATGGGAGCTGTAGCTATATCTGAACCTATTTCGATCAAATTTGGCATACTTATTTTCAGGTCTAATTTGGTTGCATGTGCAAAATTCCATAATATTCGGGCTGATATTACACGTTTGGTGCACAATAAAAGGCAAATCGGACGAAGATATATATGGGAGCTATATCTAAATTTTTACCGATTATCTCCAATTTCAATAGGGTTCGTCCTTGGGCCAAACAAATGTTGTTTGGAAAATTTCATCTCAATCGGATAATAAAAGCGACCTGCATTTTGTTCACAAGAATACATGGACACACGGACGGACGGACTGGACGGACTGGACGGACTCGTTTCCATTTGCCTATTACAAACAAATGTACAAAGACATAATACCCTGACCACCTTTTGGTGTAGGGTATAATTAGTTATAGTAGCCATAACTCCGTATATTTGGTAATTTTATGATTTTAGCAGCTTTTTTAACGGAATTTTTTGAAAATTTGCAAACTCCTTCAAATGGCGGCCGAACTTACTGCTTGTTTACATTTTTTTCATTCAGCCACACTTTTTTGTGTTACTGTTTATCCGATGAAGGCACTAAATCTGGCGTTCTTCTGATTGGTAGCTGATCACACTATTCCTCCGCTGTTGTGAATATTAATTTTTGTTAGAATATACAACGGAAAAATCTTCCTATTTTTTGCAAGTTATGACTATTATAAGTATTGAATATTCTGATCCTTTATGGGAGAGGTACCGCTTTCGCTTTCCTTAAGCGTTTTGCTTTTCAAAATCATGAACCCTATGTGGGGAAGGTACCAGAAGGAATGGTCGGATCTTTATAACATATCTTGTGTTGATAGAAATATTCAGATGTGCCAAGTCTAAATGGAATCGGATGTTAATTTCGCGTTTTATGATCTTAATGGATATTCAAAACTTCGACCTTTTGTGGGGGAAGTACCAGAAGGAGTGGACCGATATATTCCATTTTAACACCAGATCTTGTGTTTATAAAAATATTAGGATGTGTGAAATAAGACAATCGGATCCTTACATCACATTTTATAAGAGTTTCAATTATTCAAAATTATGACCCTCTGTGGGGGAGGTACTTGATGGAGTCGACCTATATTGACGCAAATGTTAGGATTTGTTAAGTTGGAGCAAAATCGGATTATCGTTTCTCTTTCTTTGCAGAAAATATATATATTGAAAATTTCGACCTTTTGTGGGGGAAGTACCAGAAGAAGTGGACCGATCTACTCCATCTTAACAGCAGACTTTTGGTTAATACATTTATTGGGATGTGTGTAATTTGAAGACAATCGGACTCTTACATCACATTTTCTAAGAATTATACAGGGTGAGATGAAAAAATTGCAACCAACTTCAGACTGCTGTCATTTGTAAGCCACTCGTCCGACAGCTGTTAAATTATTTCAGTGACAGCTCATTATATCATATCAACAATATCAGCAAAAATGGTTCGAAAAGTAAAGGAGTGACTTGATCGAAACCCGCGTAGCAGTGGCCGAAATATGGCTCGAGAGCTGAACATATCGCAACATTCCATTCGGCAAATTTTGGAAAATGAGCTCGGGGTAAGGCCGTTGAAATTCCAAAAAGTGCAAGAACTTACACCGCAACACTGGCCGAACAGGTCAGCTGAAAATGTGCACCTTCGGTTGGCCACCGGTTGGTGTGGGCCGCCATAACAGCCGATGGTCGCTCTCCGCGACCGTGGCATCAGAATAAATGCCGAATATTATCGAGAAAATATTCTGGAGGGTGTATTAAAGCCTTGGGCACGCAAATATTTTGACCGCAGACCTTGGACATTCCAACAGGATGCAGAACGCGCCACCCAAGAATGGTTACATAATGAGGTTCATCGCTTCATTTCCATCGCCAATGGCCACCAAAATCTCCGAATACCAATTCGTTGGACTATTGTGTCTGGAGTATTTTGGAAAGCAAGGTTGCCACTATAAAATAAAATCGACAGATCACCTCAAGCAAGCGCTTCGCCGGGAATGGGCCAAAATACCGCAGAGCAACATTCGGGCAGCGTGTGACGGTTTCATTGGCCGTTTGAAGGCCACAATTCGTGCCAAAGGTGACCAATTCAAATCTAAACTTTTTCTAAAATTTGATGCTATTTCCGACTTCCGATTTTTTGCTTTCATTGAATAAAATTAAAAAAATGAAAAAATTATGGCGTTTAACTTTGTTGCAGTTTTTTATAAAAAAATTAGCCTAGGAACCCAAAAGCCTTTTAAACTACTAACCGAAAACTATCACCTAAACATGGGATTTCCCACTCCCATATCATGTAGATTTAACCAGACTTTAATAATTTCCCCCCTCTCCCCCCTTTATTAATATGTATCAAGGCCAAACATTGCTTCAAAACTCTCCCTACTGCCAATTTCTAATGTAAATGTTTGATTCTGCTCTGGTCACAGCAGCATTTCATAGAATTGGGACTTCACATCAATGTTTGAGACGGTGAGTCAAACCGGTTGGGATTTTTTTTTCATTTTATTGTTAAAGAAGCCATTGGAAGACGAGTCTATAGAGATATTGTACATACACATTCAACGCTCACCATTAGAGTGATGTGAAAGAAATTTATAGGCTGGTGGTACAAAAACAAATTAAGCAGCATTTTTAAACTATCTAATTGATTACTAAGCTAAAACCAAACTTAAAATTTACAAAAATATTTATCTAAATTTAAAAATTAAAATTCACAAAAATATTTATCTAAATTTAGATTTATGTTTACATATCCAACTTACATGATGATCGACATTTGTATCTGTCGGATTGCCAAATTCATAATTGAGCTTAGTTTCATTCATTTCCAAAGCCACATGAGGTTCAGTTTCTTTGTGATTTGCCATATCGACTTCCATTATTGACATTTTTCTTTAAATATATTTTATTATGTACTCCTTAGAATTCCAAATAGTTAATAAACAATTTTTTCACAATTATTTAAGCGCAATTTTCTTAATGTTAATGCGGTTGGCCTGGCGGTTTTTGTTTATCACCAAGTTTTCTTTTTTTTAATTATTTCTATTTTTTCTTTATTCCCGCAAATGTTAAAATTATACTTTTTCTTCGTAAAATGTTTGCTGATGTGTGTGTGTTTGTGTGCGTTTCTTGAAATATGTATTTTATTTAATAAAATAAAAATTAATGCATTTGCCGGTTCACAGTCCTCGCTATCTCGTTCGTCGTTTACTTTTTATTAATCCGCCGCGTTCCGTTGCTGTCCGTAGCGAACAACTTTTCCAACTGAGATCGTTGCTGCCGGTTTGTTTACTTTTAAATTGAGATGAGAATTTTGCTAAATCTTCTGGGGATTTTTTTCTCTGAGTACGTATTAAAATTTAAAACCGGAGGTTTGGGTGATTTTTATCTCAAATTAAAATCTCTTAAATATGTGAACATGCTTCTCTTTCAATTCGGATATATTTGAATGGCGAAATTGTCATTGTTCTTTTTTCCAAAATATATGTATTATAAAGGTATTTTTCTTAATTTTTATGCCAAAAAAATGTATTGGTCATTGTGGTCGGTATCTAGTGGCGGTTATCCCCCTTTGAAAGTGGTATTTTTTTTTCTTAGGTTGACAAACACAAATATCATGAAATTTGTTAATCCCTTGCAAAATGCTTTTTAGAATTAATTTGCAATAAACACATCAAAAATTCAGAAAATTACAAAATTAGTCGTTTCCGATAATGGGAAAACTTTGATCGTTTATTCTTAAATTCTATGGTATAGCAATACTCTTGGCATTTTTTGTCCATACCATGGTCAAGAAAAATTGGTGAGACATCGTGATGCACTGATTTTTTTTGGTATTATAGGACAAATTTAGAAGTATGATATCAATTTCTTTAAGTTTCAAGTCATAAAACGGAAAGTAGACATACGAGCTGATTACATTAATTGTTTTGAAAAATAAAACAAGTAAAAAAGCTGTATGTTCGGCCGGTCAGAATTTTGAATACCCTTCACCATTTGGTACAAATTTAACAATTTTCAAAAAAAAAATAATAATAAAATCCGTTAAAAATTCTGTTGAAATCTTAAAAATACCGAATGTATATTGGGGTCAATACAACGACGTGCATAGGCAGGTCCACCATTATATGGGGGCTATACGAAGAAGTGCTCATTTTCAATACCAAAAATCCTTCAGACATAATATACATTTGAGTAAAATTTTATCAACCTACTTCATTTCGTTCGGAAGCTAGAGTGATTTCCACAGACGGACAGATGGACGGACATTGATAAATCAACATAGAATTTTATGCTGATCACTAATATATATACTCTGTGGGGTCTAAAATGTATATTTCGAGGTCTTACAAACGGAATGACAAACTAAATATACCCTCCATACTATGGTGGAGGGTATAAAAATATTTTCAAAATCAATGATTAAAAGGTAATAACAAATTTTATACCCTCAGACATAGGGGTAAAGAGGGTATATTTCATTTGATACAAGCCGTATCAAAATAAAATATCTTTGGACAAAATCCGTTTCAGAACATTTGAAATTGATCTAGCGATGTTCGTCCTTCCGTCTGGCTGGTACCCGATTTGGTTCATATTTGGTACATGGTAATATTATTGTCAAACTTAGGTCGAGTTCCAAGATGGGCAATCTCCTTATTTTCATAGAAAAAAATTATTATTCGTATAGACCGAAAAAAGATCATCCTATTTTGTTGAAACTTTGCAAATCCTAATATTTGTATCAGTTCTAGGTCAGGTGGGAAAATTGACAATATCGGCCCACTCGATCAACTAGTTACCCCACAAAGGGTCAAAATTTTGAATATTCGTAGCTCTTATAAAATGTGAAATATAGCATTTTTCGACGGATTTTTTTTTGAAATTCTTGAAGTTCCTTAAAAATGGTGGAGGGTATTAAAAGTTCAGCCCTCCCGAACTTAGTTGTTTTTTTTTTGTTATGTTCTTTTTTTTTAATCGTTCCTTCTAATTCATTCGTATTTATAATTACTGTTCCCTTTGTCGTTTACATGAATTCACTTGTTTGTGTACAGGGTGAGATGAAAAAACTGCAATAAATTTCAGACAGAACAGAAAGAAAATTTACTCAAAAGAGCTAAAACTTTGTTTCGCTTGGCCGAAAGTGGTGAACTGTCGAATTTTGTTTTCTCCGTCTCCGATGAGAAAACATTCGTTGTCCAGCAGTTTGTAAACAAACAAAATGATCGTGTTTACTTGCCAAAGAGGTCAGCTGAAAATGTGCACCTTCGGTGGCCACCAGAACTCAAACGTCGGCCATGGATCACCACATGTTGTGGATCGCCATAACAACCGATGGTCGCTCTCCGATCATATTAATCGATCGTGGCATCAGAATAAATGCCGAATATTATAGCGAAAATATTCTGGAGGGTGTATTAAATAAAGCCTTGGGAACGCAAACATTTTGGACCTTGGACATTCCAACAGGACAGGATACCAATCCGTTGGACTATTGTGTCTGGAGTATTTTGGTTGACACTAAAAAATACCAATGTGTCGATCACCTCAAGCTTCGCCGAAAATGGGCCAAAATACCGCAGAACAACATTCGGGCAGCTTGTGACGGTTTAATTGGCCGTTTGAAGGCCATAATTCGTGCCAAAGGTGACCAATTCGAACAAATCTAAATTTATTCTAAAATTTGTTGCGGTTTTTATACCCTACACCACAAGGTGGTCTGGGTATTATGTCTTTGTGCATTTGTTTGTAACAGGCAAAAGGAAACGAGATAGACCCACAGTTCCTTTTGATGATCTGCATAGAATCACATTCTGTGTCGATTTATGCATGTCCGTCCGCTTGTCCGTCCGTCCGCTTGTCCGTCTGTCCATATATTTTTGTAAACAAAGTACAGTTCGGATTTATTGTCCTATCCAGATGAAATTTTGCACAAATCATTTGTTTGGCCCAAGGACGAACCCTATTGAAATTGGAGATAATCGGTCAAATTTAAAATATAGCTCCCATATATATCTTCGTCCGATTTGCCTTTTATTGTGCACCAAACGTGTAATATCAGGACGAATGATATGGAATTTTGCACATACAACCATGGTACAATAAAAAGGTAAGGTAGAGCTATCAGCTGATTACAATTTATTTCTAAGTGTGCCCGACTTCTGCCAATTTTGTGTATGTATTATTGTTTTGAAAATATTTTCAAAACCAATGAATGGAAGACACGTACATCGCGGCTCGCGTATTAAGGCTATTAACCAGTTTAGCCGTGAAATTGAAAGATTGAACAGTTTGGATCATATTTTTAAGAAAAAATCCAAACATTTCATTCATTTTTCGCCCTATTTATTTTATTTTAAAAATGAGGGAAAATATGAAAAAAAAAAGAAAACAACTTTGACAGGAAGCGGGCATAGCCTCAGGGCTGTATTTCTGTAGTTTTACGAAGCTGTTCTACCTCCTTATTGTACCATGCATACAACCAGATTAGGCCTGAAATTTTATCGAAATCGGTTCAGATATAGCTATAGCTCCCATGAATATTGTTCATCCGATTTGTTATTTTTGTCCTCCGCAGCCGTAATATGCACTCTGTAACAACAATATTTTGGGAAATATATCAACTTAGAAACACACTTCCTAAATTTTATCGCGATCGGTTCAGATTTGGATATAGCTCCCATATATAACTGTAAGCCTCCACCATTTGGAACGAATTTGGCAATTTTCAAAAAAAAAAAAAACGTTAAAAATTTTGTTGAAATTTTAAAAATACCGAATGTAGCCGTTATATTAGGGTCTATACGACAACTTTTGTTATAAGCTATTACAATATTCAAATGCGAAATACCGAATATCTGGGGTACCGTTATATGGGACCTTTACGAAGACGTGGGTCTGCACTGACAATTTTCTGTCATAGGCTGTAGTATCCATTACAGACTTCAGATACCAAATTTGAAACAAGTCCGGTAAATAATGTCGCTAAAATAATCAAAATATCGAATATCGGGAGGTACCGCTATATGGGTGCTATATGAAAACGTGGACTTACATGGCCCATTTACCTTTTAGCCTGCCTACTGGTAAAATAAACATGTGTGCAAAATTTTCGCCTTCTATCTTAATTCGTTCGAAAGATAGCGTGATTACAACAGACAGACAGGCGGACATCGCAAAATCGACTTAGAATTTTACGCTGATCAAGTACATATATACTTTGTGGGGTCTGACATGAGTATTTCGAGGATATACAAACGGAATAACAACGTTAATATACCCTCAATAGTATGAAGGAGGGTATAAAAATTGTTAAAAAATTCATATCATAACAACCTCCGTTTGGCTTTTATAGGAACACATAGACAAATCTACATATTTTTAAAGAAACATTTAAAAAATGTTGACATCAATGTTCCCCAAGCGTTGATGCATCTACCTGTATTCTTCTACCATGGATAAATCATTAAGACTTCCTGTAATATACTGCTGAGAATTGATGCAAGAAGCAGAAAAACTACAGTTCCCTGGGCAAACGCATGTAACCCAACTGTATCAGGAAAAATAATACAATTTAATATTTAATATATAATTTAATATTTTTAATCACCTGTTCTCTATTGGAGATATTTGTGCTTAACTTAAGAGACTTTAATTGCTAGAGGTTAAGAGAAAGAGAAATATTGACAATTTTAAACAGCAAAGCATTAACACTGAGAGCTTGTTTATGTGCAAATAATCTCTTATTGTTCGATGGATGTTCAAAGAGCAGTGACCCAACCACTGTTCCATGGTACGTCATCGCTTACAGAAGTTTTTCCCCATTTTACAGACAATAGGATACAGTTACATATAATGGGGGAAAAATCAACTCATTGACGAGCACCATCAACTTCTTGTAGTGGGGAATTCCATGAACGGTTGATTTAAAGTAGCAGACTGTGACTAATACTATTCCAGTCAGAAAAATGCTATGTGTACGAATTTTTTGGGGAGAAGAAATAAAACAGTGTTGACCACATGTTAGCAATGTTGGCTAGTAATTTAGACACCAATGCATGTAATAGGATTGCATTATAAATGTTAGGGTCTATTGAATAGTAAATATTTAGTCGACATACACCCATATGTAAGCATGCATTTAATTTACATTAAAATACGTTTACATACAACTTGATTACGCTTAATTACAGGAATAACTCTGTAGTAAGTAAAAATAGAAGATAAAAAAGATTTAAAAGTGTGCATCGCAAAATAACTCAAATACAGGGGACAAGGTCCCCTCTCTTCTAAATGTTTGAAATGTTTGGATTAAGATTCCGTGTAATCTTTAAATTTTGATATATAGCGAATTCGACAATATTAGAAATAACAATACTAGAATAATTTTGGTCATAAATATTAACCCTCAAACGAGGTCGTTTTGGTCAATTTTTCAAAATATGAAACGGGGTCGTAGCAAGGGAAGATATTCTTCAAAATTATTTGTCACAAAATACTATCATAGGTCGCAGAATAAACCCAAATTCTA